CTTCTTAGGCTAAATTGTTTGATAAAAAGATTGAATCTTTGTTTGTTGAATTAATTTGACTTTGAAGAGATTTTAGCTCTACGCTACTGTTAAATCTAAATTCAAAAAGGTGTTCTGAGAACTATAATTCACCGGATTTTACTTAAATTGGGCAAAATTAGGACTGCAGACTAATCCAGTTTAAAATGATATTCTTTTAAAGTCTAAAGTGCTTTAAATAGCCGAACTTTTATAGAAACCAAGTGTCACTTGATTAGTACTTGCTGCCTCGTTAAGTGGTTTTTGCTAATCAAGGTTCTCGAACTGATTTTGTTAAATAATCGTAGTGTTACTGCAAGATTGTTATGGTGATGTTTTCCACAAATCTTAATGCGCTATTCTTAGTAGTAACTTAAGGGTTGGTCTTTGGGTTGCTAAGGGTAGTAGGGTTTAGAGTTAGGGTTGGTCTTAACATGAGCTAATATGAATGGGAAAATAGGGAAGAACCGTTGGTGGACCTCTTCTTCAGCCTAACCCTGAGTTTAATTAGCAGTTTAATTTCAGAATCAAGGCATAATTAATTAATTAATCAGATTTGTTCAATTTATTTTCTATTAAAAACTATAAGTATTTTCAAAATGGTTTAAGTTAATTATTATTATCTACGTTTTTATAAAGTTTATTGTGTGATTGTTTTTGTGTGTTTGTTTTCTCCCTAAGTGCTCTTCTGAGTTCGAGTTGCTGCTGTGGTTCCATCTCTAGACTGTTATCCTTATCTTTATTTTATTTGCATTTTTGTCTTTTTAGAATTATCATTCAAACCCCCCATATCCTTTAGTTTTAGTTTTAGTTTTTAGATTTTAGTTAGTTTTTATTCAATAAATGTGACAGAGTAAACTGATTTTCATAGCCTAAAAAGTATCTTTCCTCGTGGGATCGACCCTTACTTGCCCTATCTATATGTTTTGATCAATATTAATGCATAAAGGGGATTAAGAGTTAAGGAAAATAATTAATTAATTTGTAGGTGCTACGACACGCCTAACACTTGAAGAGCGATGGGTAGAGCTTCCCATCGCTGTTTGGCATGGTTCTGGAATTCAATTGGGCTGAAGGCCGCTTACCCATCGCTGGGTAATATCTCCCATCGCTGGGTGGCATGATTCTGGAATCCCGGGATCACTTACCCATGGATGGGTGATATCTACCATCGCTGGGTAGATCGCTAGCCAAGAACCATGGCCTAGCTGACCGGTGCTAAAACCCAACCGAAAAATGCAAAGTTCTCCAAAGTAAAAACTAAGTATATAAAACACTTATTTAATGTATTCTGATCTCAAAACAAGCTTTGTAAGTTGAAAACCACGTCGTTAAGGTAAAAACCACGGTCGACCAAGTCAATGCCGTACACGGGTGGTTTTTACCAAAAGACAAAACCGAAAGGTGGTTTTCATGATGTTTTGATTGGAGAACCATTTAAATGCATTCAAAAACAATTCCCACACAAAAAGACTCGAAAACCACTTCATTTAAGTAAAAACCACGGCTAGCCAAGTTTATGTCGTTTCGCATGGTTTTTATCAAATGACAAAAAACGAAAGGTGGTTTTTGAAGTGTTTTTTATGGAAAACTATTTAAATGTTCCCAGAAGTAAAAAAAAATAATAAAAAGTTGAAAACCACTTGGTTGGTTCGGACGCCAAAAACCAACGCCGATAACCGAATGCCGAACGCTGGTTTCCGAAAGCCGAACCCCGGAGGACTTGGTTTTTGGTTTGGGCGAACTCCAAGTGTTTTTAATATGTTTAAGCATGTTTGAAAATAATTTTGATGATATGTAAAATGCAATAAAAAATGTTTTAGCCTAAAGAGCCAAAGTGCAAAGCTTGGGTCGGTCTTGATCACATTGTGACCGACTCAACGACGCTAAAGACTACGGTCTTCGTTCTTGGTCTCTTTTAGCTCTGGTTCTCTTGCTTTCTTCTTATATCTATTTCTCGCCTTGTATATTCAACAATTTGTCTCGTTCACGGCGGTTTGGCATTATCAAAACCTGTCATAAAAACGAACACGGCTTTAGTGCGAAAACACGATAAACCCGTGTTTCAACAATTTCCCCCTTTTTGATAATGGCAAACAAGACGGGGTTATGCATAGGAGGATTAATTTGAGACTTAAAAATGTTCCCCCTTAATAAATGCAATTTTGTTTTCAACAAAGTTTATGTGTTGAATAAGAGTTATTAGTTTTAGAAAAAGTTCCCCCTCAATCTATGCATAACCTTTATATCTTCCCCCTTTTGACATTAACAAAAAGAATTAAAAGTAAACTTTTATTCATTAAAAGGGAAATGCGGAATACAACGGATAAAAATACAATCATATTTAATAAGGAGAAAATATAGAAGAGGTCGTGGCGTCGGTGTTGGCCTTCTTCTTTGAAGCCTCGGTTTTGGTCCTTGACTTTCCTCTGGCCATTGATGAAGCGTTTAGAAAGTGAGTAGAGGCTTAAAGTATGCAAGAGGAATGTGAATTGTGTGTTAAAAATGACCAAGGATGGTTAATATTTATAGGAAAAGAGAATTTGGGCCCTTGGTGTTCAAAAATATGGCTGTTGGGCATTGAATGAGGTTCCCAACGGCTATGATTTTTGAACTGCAGCAGGCTTCCCAGCGATGGTAAGGTTCTCCCATCGATGGGAAGATAGGTGCTAGAAAGGGAGGAAAAAGTGAAGGCAGCCTTCCCAGCGATGGTAAGGTTCTCCCATTCATGGGAAGACAGCTACTGGAAATCTGTTAAAAAATTTTTTTTAAAAAAAGTGTCAAACACCCAGCGATGGGAAGAAGTTCCCATCGATGGGAAGAGGACTACTGGTTAGAAAATACTTCCTTCCCAGCGATGGGATAAACCACCCATCGCTGGTTCCCCTGAGTTCCTCACTTTGATACGTACCTGCAAAAAAAACAACACTTTGGTACCCAAAGTATGTCTATGGGTCCTTGGGGGTTAGTTAACCTTTATTGCCCACACACACTCAAAATTCGTTTCCTTACGCCCACACACACACACACACACACATGATTAGATGATCGTTTAGGAGTTACCTTGGCCAACCCATGATCTTGTGGTTGGCGGGTTCCAGTCTACCTGAACGGAGTGTCGATATCTTGGTGTGATTTGTGTTGGTTCCGGTAACGGAATGTGGACTTTCTTCTTTTCGTCAAAGTAAAAGAAATAGTAAGGTTTCTTTTGTGCATTATCCTGTGGAGATTGTTTATGATACGAATATCCTTTTCCAAAGGATTTCTTTTTGTTAGCACCAAATATGTTGTGTGTTTCATTATAGGTGAAGTGCCTATGTTTGGTAAAACACACGGGAGCTATATGTCCTACCCTATTGCAATAATGACATACTACGTTTGGGTTGAACATATGCCTAGGTTGATAATAGCTAGGGGGCCTAACCATGTTTGTCCTATTTTGAGAAAAGGATGGTTTATTCATGTTTTCAAAAGGATCATTTCTAGGTGTTCTCATATTGTCTCTTCTATTTTGAGAAAAATTATTTTTATGCACAAAATCATTTTGATAATTTTTCTTAGGTTGTCTACCATGAACGTTTTCATTCCTTGGTTTTTGTCTAGGTTGTCTAGTGTTCTTAGATTGACTAGGTTTTCTATTAACTTGATTTTTATCTTTCTTACGTTGAGCCTTAGGAGGTTGTCTAGGTGTTTGCTCAACGTTTTCTTTATTTCTAGGTTCATCAATCTTCCCAAAACCTATTCCTTGTTTAGTGTATTGCATAGAATAAAAAATGAGATTAAGATCCTTATGTGGTTTATTAAATTTCTTCACCATGTTTTCTAATTCAGCAACTTGTTCTTTCAAGGCTATGCAAGAGTCACAAGGTTTTGTAGAGATCTCGGGTTTGTCGGCGCTTCTTTTACCATAAAATTTATTTTCCTCTTTTAGTTTTTTGTTTTCCTTTTGAAGTTTTTCAAACTCAGTTTCAAGATTAGAAAAACGTTTCTTTAAAGCTTTGTTGGTTTTAGAAGCGCTAACAAACTCGTCATAAAGCTCTTGGAGAGCTTCTTGCATTTCTTCAAGAGAATAAGAACCGGTAGAAGAAATACGTACCTCTTGGTTTTCGTTGTTGGCGGACTCCTCTTCTTCTTGAGCTATGAGACAAAGATTTGCTTCCTCTTCTTCCTCTTGTTCGCTTGATTCATCGCCGGAGTCTCCAACCCACGAGATGTATGCTCTTTGCTTTTTGAAGTGACGAGCATTCCTTTCGCTTCTTGGGCATTAATTTGTTCTTGATGTGCCCAGCTTTACCACATCCATAGCACACAGGGCCATCCTCAACTTTCTCTTTCTTTCGTAGAAGTTTACAAAACTTCTTCATGACAACCTTGACTTCATCTTCGTCGCTTGAGTCATTCATTGCCGGTTCTTTGGAGGCTTTTAATGCTATGCCTTTTCCCTGATCATTCAAAGACGGGTTAAGTATAGTAGATTCATACGTTTTTAAGTTACCTCTTAAACCGTCGATGGTGACATTTGACGTGCTGATTGACTCATAGATGGCATCGGCCTTGGATCGTCATTCGGATGTCAAGCTCCGTAGGATCTTTCGTACAAGATCCCTGTCGGTGTAAGTCTTCTTCAATGCATGAAGATCGTTGACTATCTTGGAAAATCGGTCGAACATGTTGTCGATCTTCTCGTGCTCCTTCATCCTGAACATCTCATATTCTTGGGTGAGGAAGTCAATCTTGGCTTCACGTACTTGGTCCGTTCCTTCGTACGTCACCTCAAGTTTATCCCACATCTCCTTGGCGGTTGAGCAGCAGGAGATCTTGCGGTAGTCATCAGGATTTACAGCACAATAAAGCATGTTTATTGCCTTTGCATAGTTCTCGACCTTTTTGATGTCCTTGGCATCAAACTCGTCTTCGGTCTTGGGGATCAACTTGTCGCCAACTTTCTTCATCGGCACCTCTTCCCCGTTTTTGATAACCAACCATAATTGGAAGTTTGTGGAACGAATATAGATTCTCATTCGTTCTTTCCAATATGTATAATTGAATTGGTTCCATCAAAAAGAGGTGGCCGTGTCGTTGATTGCCCTTCACCTATTCCTGCGTACAAATTTCTAGAAGAAGAACCCATGATCGCTTTTACTCTCAAACGGTTAAGTATGGACGCGAGTTAGGCTCTGATACCAATATTTAGAATAAGTGACCAACGCTGGAGGGGGGTGAATAGCGTTTGATCGTAAAAATCGCAAGAATAAAAAATTAAGAACGTGAAAAGTAAAGAGCGTAGAAAGCGTAAAGGGAGCACACCAAGATTTATACTGGTTCACCACAACGTGTGGCTAATCCAGTCTCCCGAGAGACTCTTTCGAGCTACACTACTATCTCGTTAAGCTTACGGGTGCTTAACAAACCGTTACAACTTGAGAACTCGAGTCCCACGAGCCTCAACAACACTTGCTCGGAGATACCGCACTCCAAGACTTCAACCCGAAGGAAAATACCTTTCCTTCGTACAACCAAGGGAAACAAGCTTCCCTTAACGTGTATACAACACTAAAAACACTCAAGAACAAGACTCTATAAGAGTAGATATTGAGTAAAATATACGCTCAAGAACAACTCAAACTTCACACAAATTGGCTCTAGAAAGCTATGGAAAATGATGTTGTTTGAATGCAATGATAATAGGAGTAATGTGAAGTGAATTGATGAGAAAAGCAGACCCAAACACCCCTTTTTATAGTGCCAAAATAGGCTCCAACGGACCAATACATTAAAGGGGTGATTGGCTTGGTTTATGGGATTGAATAAATTTGGAATCTGCAGGATATTGGCTTCCCATCGATGTTTGGACTTACCCATCGCTGGTAAGCCAATTTTCCTTCAGTTTTGAAGCCAACGGTCACCTACCCATCGATGGGTACAAGCAATTCCCACACAAAAAGACTCGAAAACCACTTCATTTAAGTAAAAACCACGGCTAGCCAAGTTTATGCCGTTTCGCATGGTTTTTATCAAATGACAAAAAACGAAAGGTGGTTTTTGAAGTGTTTTTTATGGAAAACTATTTAAATGTTCCCAGAAGTAAAAAACAATAATAAAAAGTTGAAAACCACTTGGTTGGTTCGGACGCCAAAAACCAACGCCGATAACCGAATGCCGAACGCTGGTTTCCGAAAGCCGAATCCCGGAGGACTTGGTTTTTGGTTTGGGCGAACGCCAAGTGTTTTTAATATGTTTAAGCATGTTTGAAAATAATTTTGATGATATGTAAAATGCAATAAAAAATGTTTTAGCCTAAAGAGCCAAAGTGCAAAGCTTGGGTCGGTCTTGATCACATTCTGACCGACTCAACGACGCTAAATGTTAGAATAATAGACCAATGCTAGAGGGGGGGTGAATAGCGTTTGATTGGAGAAATCGCAGGAATTAAAAAATTAAGAGAGAAGTAAAGAGAAGAGTAAAAGGCACACCGAATTTTACCCTGGTTCACCACAACTTGTGGCTAATCCAGCCTCCCGAAAGACTCTCTCGAGCTATACTACTAACTCGTTAAGCTTACGGGTGCTTAACAAACCGTTACACCTTGAGAGTTCGAGTCACACGAACCTCAACAAATCCTTCAAAGGAAACAGACCTTCCTTTGAATCAACCGAGAGAGACACTATCTCTCAACGTGTCTAAGAACACAAGTGCACTCAAGAACAAGACTCTCTTATAGAGTAGATTATGAGTAAACCGAGTACGCTCAGAAGCAACTCAACCTTCACACAAAGATGGCTCTAGAAAGCTATGGAAAATGATGATATTTGAATGCAATGAAAGTATAGATGTTGTGAAGTGAATT